CTTCTGCCCCCCACCCCCCTTCCCCCTTCAAGCAGTGGCCGTTGCAGAGGCTGAACGGCTGGGGTCAATGCCTTGCCTATTGATCAGTATCCCTGCAGTCCCCTGCTCCAGCAGCTGCTTCATTGGCTTCTTTCAGGGCCTGCTTCAGTACATTAGAATAGAAATCCATAACCAGAGCTGTGCTCATCCAAGCAGGGGAAGAAACTAAATTAAATGGTATAAAACAATCTTGGATCAGGAGTTTGTGCCAATTCATCTTGATCTAAGATGTCACACCGGGCTCTCTGTCTGAGCACCTGGGCTAGAGGCAGCCATAGTGAAAATAGATGGAGCTGCGATCATTCATTTGTCAGCTAAGGAGCAAGGCAGCGGTTAGCAATTCCCTTCTGCAGAGGTCAGCTGACAGAACAATCAGTGCAACTGCAGAATAGAGCTTTCCTTTGAACTATTGTTATGGAGCATGCTCTTGCTGAGTCGTGGGGGGAGGGGAGCTTCATTTGCTTCCTGTTTCAAGACTGCTATGGAAATAGTGAAATATACACTACATGCATCTAGATGCAGTTGCACAGAGCTCTTACTCCCATGTCTGTCCCTGTACTCAAATAAAGTTGGCTTTAAATGCACGTTCTGATATCTAGATGATCAAACTGTTACATATCACTTTCTCTAGAATTTGGGTTCATTTTCATCCTCCTAAACACAGAGGCAGTGGTTATTGATTTTGTTTCTTCTTCGTATGGCTAACCTTTTAGGTTTTTCCCCCACTTCAGTTATTACAACTATGACAGACCAGTGGCATACTTGGAATCTCTGATTGCACATACACATTAACACTCTTACTAATGTTTCTGTACCTTTAATAAACTCGGAAAAAAACACAAAGAGAGAGAGTTACATAGAATGGTATCAGAAGATATTTCTGAATGTTACTTAAATATTTTTGAACATTTTAATTGAGGCTTTTTATAAGAAATGTGAATTCATGAAATATTTATGACTTTAGAAGTAACGGAGTAATTTTATAACATTGGAGGAATATCCTTAACTATACTATAAAAAATGAAGTAGGGAGATGAATAAAATTTTATATAGAAGATTTAGAATATTTTTAAAGATCAGTGTATTCTCTGTGGACTCATACTGGATTTTGTCTTTCTGTATACTACATGACAACTAATGACAAATTTTCAGAACTACCTTTTTTTTAATGTTTATTTTTGACAGAGAGAGAGAGAGAGAGAGAATATGTGCAGGGGAGGGGCAGAGAGAGAGAGGGAGACAGAGGGTCTGAAGCAGGCTCTGTGCTGAGAGCTGCAAGCCCAGAGCCCAGTTTGGGGCTCAAACACATGATCCCTGAGATCATAACCTGAGCTGAAGTCAGAAACTTAACCCACTGAGCCACCCAAACACCTCCTTTTTTTAAACATTAAGTTTGATGTTTTCATTTTAGTTTTCTTAGTGTTTTTTTTTTTGTTTTGTTTTGTTTTTGTTTTTGTAAGTACTTTAATGCCACTCTCTTACGGAATTACTCCTTTCTAACTACTAAATTCTTTGTAATATCCTACCATTTCCTTTTCTTAGCCTCACCCAGGTCAGCTTGCCCACTTCTATTCTGCCTTTGAACACAGTTAAAAAAATGCAATTTAAAATTTCTACTTAAAAGCTTTGTGCTCTAGGTGTTTTGTTTGTTTTTATTAAGCTTCTGGAGAAGCCATATCTGCTTATCTTAAAAGGATTTCTTTGTTTTTACTTTTGTGTTAGTTAATTTTTGCCTAAATTCTTACTGTTTTTGACTAAATTTGTTACTTTTTGTTTTAATTTTTTAAATTAATTTTGATAATTAGTTAATTTAGATTCTTAAAAGAACTTAAGGCATGACATCTAAAGTTTGCAGTGTTTCTATCAACTTCCCAAAGACCAAACCAATCTTTTTTAAAATTTTTTCTTAACATTTTATTTTTTAGAGAGGGAGAGCATGCACGGGGTGGGGTGGGGGCTGGCAGTGAGAAAGAGGGAGACAGAGAATTCCAAGCAGGCTCCATGCTGTCGACACAGGGCTTGAACCCACGAACCTTGAGATTATGACCTGAGCCAAAGTCTGATGCTCAAGTGACTGAGCCACCCAGGTGCCCCAAGACCAAACCAATCGTAATCTCACTTTGGTTTCTACAATATCCTTCTAATCCCCTAAATCTAATTATGTTACTCTGTGGCTTAAATCTTACCTTGAGTATCTTCCCACTTTTTATAGGATAAAGGTTGAAATGTGAATATGGTCTATGGTGCCATCTGTGGTCTAGCCCGTGCCTGCCTCTCTTGCCTGTTTTCTATCTTTCTCTTGGCTCTTAGGCTTCCAACCTGATTACCTGTCTTTGAGTTGGAAGTCAACAAATTACTTCATGCTTGAGGTTCTTACACAGACTGTTCTCTCAGTTCATAGTGTTCTCATTGATTCTGTAACCTATTTCTAATTCTTATTTAGTAGGCTGTAAGTTCAAAGAGGACAGGGATTTTGCTTTTCTCATCCCTGTTCACTTCCAGTATAATACCATGAATACATCAGACCTTCGATTCTTATATGTTGAATGACTGAGTAACTGATGGAATGAATGGATTTCTACCACCACTGGTACTGTTTTTCACCTGATCGTTGCATGAGTCTTCTTTTAGTTCTGCTGGACACCAGTCTTGTTTTACCTCGTAATCTACCTTTCTATCGCCACTCTCATGGTCTTTCTAACAGTGAATAAATCTGATATCACCACCTTATGCAAAATTGTTCCAATAGCTTTCCATTAAACAAAAGTTAAAAGTCTTCAGCTTGCCATGCACAAGTCTGTCTTGATTTGGTGCCCCTTTAGCCTCTCCCATTGCCATTCCCTTGCCTTACCTTCAATTAGCATAGAATGACAGAGTAAATGAAGAGACAAAATAAGACATCTAAAAGCACTCAGAGGTCCCTGCTGCTAATTTCTTAGCGTTCTGAGCTCCGAGGGCCCTTTTCTATATTGATTTAAGTAATACAGAGAGTGAAGTATTAAAAGGGGCTGGATGGATGACTAGAGAGAGTAGAAGGCTGACCTCCAATGAAGATGTCTCCAGAAGTTCACTTTTTAAGTTTCTCTGTACCAAATATATAGCTGTGAGAGATAAAATATACAAACAGCAAACCAAAGAGACATAACTAGTCTCCAGAAAGATAGATACCCTTGTGGACAAGTAATAAAATAGAAGTGATCTGGGCTAATACCCTTAGCTACTTCCCAGAAGCGGGCTTTTGGCTCCTGTGAGCTAAAGAGGACTTAAAATATATCATGAGTACAGCTTAAAGCCAGGAGTGAGGCTATGGCTTTGTCAGTTCTTGAAAGGACCCTGAAAGAATGTGAGTAGGTTACTACTCAGTTCAAATCAAAGTTGTTATTAAAGGAGAAGAAGAATAGATATTAACTCTGTGACTGGCATTGTTAACTGTAATAAAAGATTGTGGAAATAAGTGAGTTGTGTTTACCCTAAGAACCTAGAAACAAAAGAAGGGCTCCTGGCTGGCTCAGTTGGTAGAGCATGCCACTCTTGATCTTGGGGTTGTGAGTTCAAGCTCCACGTTGGGCATAGAGTTTACTTAAAAAAGAACCTAGAAACAAAGAGAACAGAGAGAAAACATACAGTAGGAGAAATAGTAAAAATAACAACAGAAGTTGGTGAAATAGAAAGAAACGGAATAATAAGATCAAAACTGAAATATTTTTTGAAAGTCTGGTAAAATATAAATTTCTAGCAATACCGATCAAGAAAGGCATGAAAAGTAATATTAGAGAAGGCACAAATAATATTTAAATGGATCCATAGCAATGATATAACTGAAATATTTTCATGATAGTACTGTAAATAACTTTAATAAATTTAAAAACTTAAGTTAGATAGATAATTCCTTTAAAACCACAAGCTATCAGAAATGACTCAAGAGGAAATAGAAAGCCAAACTGGACAAGTAACTGCCAAACTATTTTCTAAAGTAGTCGAACCTTTTTACATTTCCACCTGCAATGCATACTCTTCCATCCATACTCGACAGCACATTTTATAATCCTTTTTATCACAGCCCTTCTAGTGGATGTGAAGTGATATCTCCTCGTAGTTTTGACTTGCATTTTCCTAATGACCAGTGATGTTAAGCTTCTTTGATATGCATCCCGGCCCTTTATATATCTTTGGAGAAATATCTATTCCAATTGTGTACCCATTTTAAAAGTTGTACTTTTTTTTTTTTTAATTTTTTTTTTTTCAACGTTTATTTTTTTGGGGACAGAGAGAGACAGAGCATGAACGGGGGAGGGGCAGAGAGAGAGGGAGACACAGAATCGGAAACAGGCTCCAGGCTCTGAGCCATCAGCCCAGAGCCCGACGCGGGGCTCGAACTCACGGACCGCGAGATCGTGACCTGGCTGAAGTCGGACGCTTAACCGACTGCGCCACCCAGGCGCCCCTAAAAGTTGTACTTTTTTATTATTGAGATGTAAGAGTTTCTCATATATTCTAGATAAGATCTTTTATAGATATCTGATTGACAGTGTTTTCTCTCAGTCTGTGTGTTGTCTTTTTACTCAGTTGATTTTGTCTTCTTAAGTGCAAAGGTTTGTAATACTGGTGAAGTCCAATTAAAGAAGCTTTTAAAATTACTTGTGCTTTTGGTATCATATCTAAGAAAGCATTGCCTACCCCCAGATCATAAAGGTATATCTATATTCTTCTTCAAGTTCTCTTATTTTAACTCTTATATTTAGTACTGTGAACCTATTTTGAGTTGATTTTTTTAATTGATTTTTTTGTATAGAGAGAGATGGAAGCCCAGATTCATTCTTTAGCATGTGGATAACCAGACATCTCAGTGCCATTTGTAAAAAGACTGTTCTTTCTTGAAGGAGTAATCTTGAATTTTTTTTTTTTTTTAATTATATGTCTTTGTGTATTGATAGTGTTTTAACTTCTGTTTGGGTTTTCAGGTTGCTTATCAAGTATCCCACAAATGAAAAAGATTTCCACATCTTATGAGGAAAGACGGAAGCAAGCTACTGCTATTGTTTTACTAGGAGTCATAGGAGCTGAATTTGGTGCTGAAATTGAACCTCCCAAATTGTTGACCAGACCGCGAAGCTCTAGCCAGATTCCTGAGGGATTTGGCTTGACTAGTGGTGGATCCAACTACTCACTGGCCAGACACACTTGTAAGTTTTAAAATTCCTAACGCTGATCTGTTGCTTTCAGTACACATTATTTGTTAACAGAACCTCAGAATATATCCCGGGTTTTAGCTCAAACAGAATGCTGACATGAAGTTAGAAAGCAGTATGATCTGTTTGGCACATTACCCTTTGGTTATAGTTACCAAACTTTAAAAAAAAAAAATTAAACCATGGTCTTAAAAATGCTTTTCTTAAAAAGCACATTTCTGATCTTTGTGTTCTCACATTTTGGTCAAGATTTTAGTCCCGACTTCTAATTTCTAAAACAATTTCTGTAAAACTATGCAACAAGTCCTGAATGCGGTTTGAAAAGTCAGGAGTGGGGGTGGATTAGTTACATTGAGAGCTCAAAGGGCCTGTGTCCTCCTGCTAACTTGTGTTCTGTGTATGTTAATAACAAGTAAGGATATTTTGTAATGTCTTTTGGTACTCCAGTGTTGGAACTCCATTAGGTAGGGTCCTTACCTACCATATTGCAAAATAACTTCTAACAAATCGTGTTATCGTAAGGACCAAATATAATCCTACTGAATATATCACAAGGTATTCTTTATAGAACAAATTGCAGTGTGTTTGGGGGGTTTTGGCTTTTAAGCAAGGGAGAAAGAGCTATGTTGCTTTGTTAGTTATGACAGCAGAAAACTTCACTGGATCATTGTCACATACTTTTGCTGTGAAATCATGGAACCATATTAGTAGCTTTTATAATTAAAACCCTCCTGTAGATTTAGCTGCCTGTCTCCGCATGCCACCCCCCTCCTTTTTTTCTAGATTCCTGGTACAACAAATACTACTTACTAGTGGTTGGTAACCTCCTGATCTCTATTTGACATTGAGCATCAGAGATTAATGATAACAGTTCCACCACCAACAGTAATAAAGCAACTAATTCTTTGAACATGATTTTAAGCTCTTTTACATACATTAACTCACTTAATCTTCATAATAACCCTATAAAGTGGGTACTTCAGTTATCTCTGTTTTACACATAAGGCTAATTGGGCACAGAGGGGTTTACTTACCCTGGCTGAGATCACACCTCTAGGAAATGGCAGTTTTTGTTCCAGCACAATCTGTTGGGTCCAGAGCTTGTGCTGTTGACCATTATGCAAAGTGCTACTGTTTAACGGCTCCTAGATGCAAAGGGCTTAACCACTGACCTGGCTAACGCGTGCTGTTACTTTTTAACTTAAAAAGTTTTCTCTCCCCTCATTTGAACTTTAAAAGAGAAATCAAGCCTTCTTCAAAGTCGCTCAGCCAAAATGTGGTAAAATCTAAACTTGAACTCAAATGTCTAGTGACCCGAAAACCCATGCGCTTTGCATTTGCCACCTGTGCACACCGGCTCTCCCTCTCCTGCCAAGGCCTGCCGGCTGCGGGCCCCTCCCTCTCACCCCTAGTAGCTTTATCTTTTCCCAAGTTCTGCACGTTCCCTGATCAAATCTCCCACTCTACAAAAGGCCCTAGTGTTAGGCTCACTTCTCTATGTCACTCCAGACACCCTAGGATTTGTGTGTATAGTTTCTTAGAATCTTGGCATTAGACTGTATTAGAAGTTAATGAAACTTTGGCCTGATTTAGTTGGCTGGTTTTCAAACTTTTGCTCACCATCTCTCTCACGAGGATCAAGAAATGTCTGGTTGCTCGTACGATTCTATGTTAACAGCTAAACCTTTTCAATAATAAGTTTAAACATTTGCAAAAGATGTAATTTAGAGACTATTGTGAATATGGACATTGAAAAATGAAATACTGTTCTTGTAAATATATTCAATATATTCAATTGAATATTTACCATAACTATTTGATATCCATTTAAAAAAAATACATGACAGACTTTCCTTGAAAAATCAGAAATCCTTCATCCTTGATTCTTTTCCTTAAAGAGAGAAAATTTCTCCCTCACAGTTTTAAGGAACATGTTCATTTGCATATTTAGCATCCAAAAATCAATCCTTTAAACTAACTCTATCTTAAAACTATTTGTGCTTTTAAATCTATTCCTTGAGAAGTCTTATGATGCTTTCATTTCAAGGGGTTACTTATTATGAAGACTGTTGATTTAGTTCAGCATGTTTTGTACAATATCTTAAACGTATTCTTTCTTATTTTGTATTTTCCTGCAAGGAAAATGAACACAAATGCTGTGTCTCAGGAATTTTCACATAGCTCACTAGAAGTATCTGTACATAAATGTAGGAACATCATAAATTAATGAGTTGCTGACTAATTCCACCCAAGCTGTTGGCTGGTTGCTGGGCAGATTAGTCTACATCATATTATCTCACTTATCCAGACTAGTACTGTTATCCCCTTTCAAATCACGATTTATCTTTATGCAAAATTCTGATATTGCTTCTGTATTTTCTCTTAACTGTAATAATTTCACTTGCAAATTGTGTCTACTATAACTAGAAAAAGAGGAAGTAGGTTAGGAGAAAAGCAGGAATTTAAAAAGCTGTGGTAGAATAGAAATAGAGATTTTTCAAAGAAGCCTTGGTAATTGATAAAAGAAGAGTAGGGTCTCTGTGTTCTGCTCTTTGGGTTTGTTAGGAGACAAGGAGGTGAATGACGCATCATGGGGTCCCAAAGCCTATTTCTGACAGGATGGAAACCTTGGGATGTGCTACGTGGAGGGACTTTTGCGTGATGCCACCTCGACTTTCCGAAGCAAGATAAATAAAATTCCCCCAAACATTGAAACTATTTAAGTGTTTTAGAGTCAAGTTCATTCCTCGAGCATTTTGAATAAAGGACTAGGTGTGGGAAGAGCAAAAGATAATGCTTCTTAGCAAATAATACTATTGATTATTTTATTGAAATTGTAGCTTTCTAGCCAGCAAGAAATATATATATATAAATGAAAAGGTACCTATTAGAACCAGTTTAAAATGTGTAAAATATCCTTGATACTTTCCTCACTTATTATGGCTGCCCTATTTTAATAATTATAAAATATCAGTTTAAATCTTGCTCCCATGATTGGAAACAGTCAGATGTCTAAATGTTCTTGTGTCTTTCTTGGCCTCTTTTTGGATCAGTTATATATAATAATAACCTGTTGTAATGTTAACCTGCTGGAAGTTGCTATATGTATTGCTATGTTATTTGTTTATGTGGCATTTAGAATGCATTGCAACCATTAAATATTTAGTCCTCATGGCAACCTATTGAATGAGATAATCATTATTATCCTCATTTTGAGATAAGGCCATTAAGATACAATATTTGATGAACTTTAATTGCTAATGCACCTAGAGGTATAGATAGTGAATTCTAACCTTCCTTGAAAAGCCATTCTGTTCTGTGAAAACTTCTCATTATCCCAATTATCCACATTGATAGGAGGGAAGAATGACACTGCCACCAAATTCAAAAGTCATGCTTAGTTTTCTAATGCATTTCATACTTATATTTGAATATACCTGAATCATTTGTGGGAGTTACACTTCACATAAAATGTCCAAATTGCATATTGAAGACAAAGCTGAAGGACTCTGGAAATTAAGAAGCCTAGACTAGGCCACTCTTTCCTCGTGCCCTTGATCTGGGTTGCAGTTTCCTCTTGTTTAAAATAAAGGGCAGTACTATTCTGTCGTTAAAGCCCCTTTTGGTCCAGTTAATCTCTCCTTCTGAAGTGAAATAGCATCCCAGGAAATTCACCTTCATCACCTTCTCCTTTTCCATTTCGTGTAGGGATGGACACTGTCTCATTCCAAAAAGCTAACTCAAACAGAGATCATTCTTCATTTTTATTTTGATCCACAAAGACATTATTAGGACGTTTTAGGGTAGTATTTATAATGCCTGTAGGTCTTTGGTTCATTCTTTCATGTGGTCACGTCTCTTCTTGCTCATTTTATAATTGTGGAATTATGCTGGCACGTCTGTAGTAAATCCCATTTTGATCTCTCATTAGCTTTTTGACTTTGGGCAAGTGGCATAAGTCATTTCCCTAGGCAGCAGACTCTGAGACAGATTTGTGTGCAGGAGTATTCTTGTGATCAATACTTTTAGGTAGTGAAAAAAACAGGATGGGACAGAGCGAGATGTTGAATTGCATTTCAGTTGCTTAGGAAGCTTCAGCTCATCCCAGGGAACTCTGGGACCAGGATGGCCCTTCAAACTGTCCTTGAATTGGGGCAGAGGGCTTGGCCTTCATATCCCTGTGTCCTTCAGTCACTGGATCCACAGTGCCCTAGGGAGGGGTGTGACCTTGGATGCGGCAGCTCTCTTCATGTCAGCGCAAATCCTACAGAGGGACTCAACCAACACTTGTCAGCCACTGACCCCAAGAGCTTGGGGGCAGAGTGAGTTCTTCACTTGTGGAGGTGAGGGGATGGATAGCCTCTCCGGGCTTCCACTCGGCATGTTACTAACTTACGTGTGCCCTAGTTCCCTCTTTCTATCAACAGAAACGGAAAGAGGGGCTACCGTTGAACACGCTTTCTACTTCAACAGCTTACACATCGCTTATCACCCTGCAAGACAGCTGTTTTGTCCAACACCTAGCATGATACGAAGCACATTCGCAATAGCTGATTATTGAGCATTTACTCTGTGCTGTGTACTTTACATATAATAACTTATTTAACTTTATAATCCTTCCAAATGGGTACTATTACTGTTATCACTAAATAGAGGAGGAAACTGAACCTTTGCCCAGGACTCACCAAAGTTTTGTGAAATTGGATTAACTTTTCTTTGTGTAGACAATAAATTAAGGGCGTAGGTTAAATGCTTTAAGATCCTGCTAAGTCTGAACACCTATCTTGCAACTTTAAATCAGTATATTTTCTTTTTTGACTATTAAAAAATGTTTATTTAACAAAAAAGTTCAACATGAAAACGCACGACCTGATTTTTATATTGTAGTGAAATAGGTGCTAGGGAGACGGAGCACGTGGAAGCAGTCAATTTCTTCCAGGAACACACCCATTGTTTATACTCCTTCCAAGACTTCTAACATGAGGATACTATTT